GTTTAGGAACCCTTTCTTATTGAGGGCGTCAGGCAGATAGCACAGGCCCAAGGAGAGGTGTGTAGGGTGCATAGAGTGATGGAGTGTCGGTGGCACGGTGAGGCCATGACACAGGCTAGTGACGTGGGCTGCAGAAATGAGAGCCCTGCGTCGGGAATTCTGTGTGATGTGCTCCACACCCGCCCCAGGCAGGCTGGATGTGTGTGGTAGAGGCTGTTCAAGGAGAGAGGTGGTGTAAAGAATGTTAAAGTAGCCTGTAATCCCAGCATCCTGATTAAACTGGTCTTGTTTTTGTGTGGTGTTTTATCTGGATTTTCACATAGTCTGTACTATTTTGTAATCCACTTGCAGCTATAACAAATATGTTTTTCTGCCTCTGCTTTGCCTTTGTAAATATTTTCATTACAAAATAAAGGAGGAAGTTGTTTTTCACGAAACAAAATCAACTGATGTGTTTTAGGAATTTCAAAACTGTTGGGTCCTTGTTGGGAGATTTTATGCTGAAGCACAAGGTGAAAAGCTAAGGTTGTTCCTTGTCTGGACGTGGGGTTTCCTCCTATTTCTGTTACTCACAGTAAAAATTCCATGTTTTGCAGTGAGGGTTATATAAAATCTTCCCCAGGGTTGGGCAAGTTAAGCAATGTAACTTCCTGCTCAAAAAAGGACACGGAATTGGTTTTATGTTTGCAGTGGGAATATTTAGTCAGCTATTCATAGAGCTTTTTCCCAAGATACTTTTATGGGAGGTCACTGCTTTATCCCCCTTTCCATGAACTTGGGTTTGTTGCAGAGCTCTCGTGCAAGGGACTGTGCCCAGTTCACAAATGAAAGATGACATTTAAGCCTGATGGATAAGTACAACTGAGAATCTCGGTTTTTCCACCCTTCCTTCTTGAGTTGGTTGGGGGAAAGTGCCATTTAGTGAGTAGTGGTAAGAGTTAGCCCCAGCTGCATGCTTGGCAACTTGGACAAGGAAGCCTGGCCCATTTTCAGAAGGGGAGCTGGGAGCTTAATCTAGACCAGTGATGGCGAACCTTTTGAGCTCGGCGTGTCAGCATTTGGAAAAACCCTAACTTAATTCTGGTGCCGTGTCACATATAGAATTTTTTTGATACTTGCAACCATAGTAAAACAAAGACTTATATTTTGATATTTATTTTATATATTTAAATGCCACTTAACAAAGAAAAATCAACCAAAGAAATGAGTTCGCGTGTCACTGATCTAGACGGTCCCATGTCCCTTTCTTTGGAGAGTCTTGGTAACATCACATGTACCATGACCCTGTACCTTGGGTCTTTTCAGTCTTGAGCCTTCACTGTTGACCTGCACGTGCAAAGAGCCCCGCACTGGGAGCCAGGAGGCTGCCATCTCAGCTTTGTCACTCAGCTCTTCTGTAACATTAGGCAGCCCTATGAACTCTCCCTTTGAGCCTCCATTTTGCTCTCTGGTGAAGGGCTATCTTCTCACCTTCCCGCAGAGGGTGCCAATGCGAAATGGGCAGGGAAATGCTGTGCCGACGGGAATCCTTGAGGAAGCAGAAGGTGAGGGTGATACTCCTTTGAGAGCTACACAGTTCTTAGTTGAGACGTCATGGGATGTCTTAGATGCGACGTCGTGGCTGGGTCTTGGTTGAGGAAATAAAAGCCTCAGTTGCAGTGGATGAAGTTGTAAACCTTGGCCGAGGTCAGCGAGCCCAGTGCACTCCTCAAAGTATTCCCAAAAGAAGGATCTGTGCTTTCCATGATAGAAACTCCAAACCATCTCTTCAGGTGGTTCTGGCTGGATCTAGATATCCACGCCCTGCCCCATAGCCTGAAGACACAGCTGGTTCATTCATCTAGAATCATCTCACATGTTTTTCACTCTGAATCTTTTCCTAAGAAAATTAACTTAGCTAAGTACTGTGCTTCCCTTTAACCCCCGTAAACTGTCCTTTTAAAACTTCCTCTAGAATTTCAGAAACAGTCTACTGATACCAATATTCTTTTTCTGAGTTGAAAACTTCTGCGAAGTAGTTAGCTATTCATAGTGTATGCTGTTTGTTCCTGAGGGTCCTTCCAAATCTTTTTCCTCATTGTGGTCTTTCTCTGTTCGATATATCTCTCCTGCATTAATGTTTCTCTCTCTCCCACCCTCCCTTACACTGTCTCTAAAAATGAATGGAAAAAATATCCTTGGGTGAGGATTAACAAAAAAAAAAAATTTTTTTTTTGCCTATAGACTGAAATCTGTTTGTGGCCTTTGATATTTCACTAAAATACCATTTTCATTTCTCTTTTCCTTTTTGCTGTAGATAGAGAGATCTGAAGTATACACTTAGGGTTTTGAGAAATGTATACACCCATGAAATTCTCATTCCGATCAAGACATACCTTTCCTTGTTGCCATTCTTTCAGCCTGTTCACGCGAAGGGCCTAGGACCTAGAGATTGGCGATTCTGGGTTAAGTGCTACTTTAGCTTTGGGAGATGTGTCCCAATTTAGAGAGAATTGTTTATTTTTGAAAAGCGTTTAGTCTCAAATCTGGAAGCCAAAAATAAAAAAAGCTTAAAACTATCCATGATTCATTTTCTAAAGAAATGACTAATGCTTTTAACTATAAGAAACACTCACGCAGATACATTCCAAGTGTCCATTTGAGCTCTCTTGTCCTTGCGAGTAAAACCAGTGGCAAAGCGGTTTAAGTTGCCGAAGGGGGACTGGACTTGGACCTCAGTTTGATCATAAGGTTTGTCCAGAAGCTCAGTCGAAAGGAACTGACCTAACGAGGGTGTGGACCCTCAGCTTAGGTGTGGACATTTTGAATTATTCAGGTTGTGTGTGACTTGGGTCCTTTAAAACTGTAATTAAGGAGTAAGAAATGTCTTGTGGTTTTTTACTACCTTCCTTGAAGGAAGTTTATGAAGGCCTTTTCTTGGTAGTTTAAGAGACACAAGAGAGCTTGGGAATTCAGACTGATTAATCTGGGCTATCCAACATGTAATAACTTCACAGCATTCTCAACAAGACAAATACTTCTACCTTGGAACTACTTGTTAGAACCCAGTGAACTTAAAAAATCCTCTTACATCAAAAAAGAGTAAACACTACCCTTGATTAAAGAGTGGTCACACAACTTTGTTATAGAGGTTGGAGAAGAGTGATTACCATTTGACATACCTCATTGCTCTGGCTGGAATTCCAGCTCTGCCCTTAACACAGTCACCTCTTTAAATCTGTTTCCTCAGGTATAAAATGTAAATAAAAGTAACAATCCCTGCTTCAGAGGCTCACGTGTAAGACAATGCACAGTGCTTGGGATGCAATACTACTTTGGGATTCTTTTTTACAGATAAAGTCCCAGTCATAGAGTTAATCTGAAAAGAAAAATGTTTACAGAGTATTGCCATTCTACTTTTGTGGGTTGTCTTTTAATGTCAAGCTTATCTAAATGGTTGTTCTGGTGTAGGTCATCCATCACAATAGTGTCAGAACTCTGGAGTTACGTCCCCAGCGAACCACACCATTACTCTTTGTTCTTCTATTGCCTGTAGACTGAAATCTGTTTGTGGCCTTTGATATTTCACTAAGATGTCATTTTCATTTCTCTTTTCCTTTTTTTGCTATAAACAGCATGAAATTCTCATTCTGATCAAGACATACATAGTAAATGTCTTTCTTCTTCTTCTTTTTTTTGGGTTAATTCTCACCCGAGGGTATTTTTTCCATTCATTTTTAGAGGGTGGAAGGGAGGATGGGAGGATTGAGAGGGAGGGAGGAAGGGAGGGAGAGAGAGAGAGAGGGGGAGGGAGAGAGGGAGGGAGATAGATAGAGAGATAGATAGATAGATAGATAGATAGATACAAGAGACATATTGATTAGCTGCCTCCTGCATGCACCCTAACTGGGGCTGGGATTGAACCCACAACCTTTGGTGCTCGAATTGGAGCTCCAACCACTGAGCACACTGGCCAGGGCTCATTTCTATACTCTAGAACATTCCCTCCTGCCCCTTTCCAGACAAAACCTCTACCCCTGTCACTTTTAGACATCTAGGACCTGAGTTAATCTTGCCTTCTTGAGCCTAACATAAATGGAATTTGAGGTCTGTCTTTCACTCATATGGTACTCTTGTTACTAGTAGCAATAGTTTCCTTTTTATTGCTGAGGGTTATTCCATTGTATGAATATACTGAAATTTGAAAACCTATTTTTCTGTTGATGGTATATGGGTTGTTCTCAGTTTTTAGAAATTAGGATAAAGCTGGTATGACTCTTGTCATTTGATTTCTCTGAGCACTCAGTGTGGCTAGTGGCTCCTTCACCCCTCGCCCTTCATCTCTGGGCAAGTGTCTTAATCTCTCTGCCTTTGTTTTCTAATCCATGAAATGGTGGGTTGGGAAACAATTCAGGGTTGGGACCACCATTAAAAATAATAATAAAAAAATAAAATCTTGGAGTGAATTCCATGAAACTATACTCATTGCCACACCTATAAATACATACAGTTATATGTGTGTGCACATATGTGTACTGGATCACAATATAAAATGTATTTGATATTATGAATTGTGGGCAAATCAATTTGTAGCACATTGATTTGTATGTATCCTTGTAAGCAAGGCGGTCAAGCACCTGTGAGGTTATTTAGTAAGTGCATGTTTCTGCCCTCCGGTGTCTAAAACAGCCATAGTGTTAACAGCCACTGATATACGGCTTCCTATGGGCCAGCCACGGTTTTAAAAGCTTTACATATAAAATCATGTAGCCCTCACACCCATCCTATGAGGTAGAATTCAGTGGTCAGCAAACCGCGGCTCGCGAGCCACATGCAGCTCTTTGGCCCCTTGAGTGTGGCTCTTCCACAAAATACCGACTTCTGCGCATGGGCCACAAAGTTTCAATCGCACTGTACGTGCGCGCCGCCACGTGGTATTTTGTGGAAGAGCCACACTCAAGGGGCCAAAGAGCTGCATGTGGCTCTCGAGCCGCGGTTTGCCGACCACAGAGGTAGATTATTATCTCCATTTTATAGGTGGAGAAGCTGAGACATCAGTTATACCACTGGCCCGAGGTTGCACAGCTAGAACGGTGAGGCCACGATTTGAACTTAGGCCGTCCACATCTAAAGTCTGTGCTCTAAACCACTCTTCCAGGGGGAGGTAAAGTCCAAGAGGCAAGTGACATATGTGAGCCAACGCAGATGAGTAATTATTCAATTAATACAATGCTCCTCCCTTCTGTTCCAGATATGAGAAATGAGTGTTGGACGTCGAAGAATAAAGTTGTTGGGTATCCTGATGATGGTAAATGTCTTCATTTATTTGATTGTGGAAGTCTCCAAAAACAGTAACCAAGACAAAAATGGAAAGGGGGAAGTAATTATACCCAAAGAAAAGTTCTGGAAGATAGCCACCCCTCCCGTGGCATATTGGAACCGAGAACAAGAAAAGCTGAACAGGAGGTACAACCCCATTTTGAGCATGCTGGCGAACCAGACCGGGGAAGCAGCCGGGTTCTCCAACGTAAGCCATCTGCATTATTGTGAACCTGACCTGAGGGTCACATCTGTAGTCTCAGGTTTCAGCAATTTGCCGGACAGGTTTAAAGACTTTCTGCTGTATTTGAGATGTCGAAATTATTCGCTACTGATAGATCAACGGGATAAGTGTGCAAAGAAACCCTTCTTACTGCTGGCGATTAAGTCCCTCACTCCACATTTCGCTAGAAGGCAAGCAATTCGGGAATCTTGGGGCAGAGAGACCAGCGTGGGGAACCAAACAGTGGTGCGAGTCTTCTTACTGGGCCAGACCCCCCCGGAGGACAACCACCCCGATCTGTCAGATATGCTGAAATTTGAGAGTGAGAAGCACCAAGACATTCTTATGTGGAACTACAGAGACACCTTCTTCAACTTGTCTCTGAAAGAAGTGCTCTTTCTCAGGTGGGTGAGCACCTCCTGCCCAAATGCCGAGTTCGTTTTCAAGGGCGATGACGATGTTTTTGTGAATACCCATCATATCCTGAATTACTTGAATAGCTTATCCAAGAACAAAGCCAAAGATTTGTTTATCGGTGATGTGATCCACAACGCTGGACCTCATCGGGATAAGAAACTGAAATACTACATCCCAGAAGTTGTTTACACCGGCGTCTACCCGCCTTACGCCGGGGGAGGTGGGTTCCTGTACTCCGGCCGCCTGGCTCTGAGACTGTACAATGTAACTGACCAGGTCCTTCTGTATCCCATTGATGATGTTTATACTGGAATGTGCCTTCAGAAACTCGGCCTCGTTCCAGAGAAACACAAAGGCTTCAAGACATTTGATATAGAAGAGAAAAAAAGAAATAACATTTGTTCCTATATAGATTTGATGTTAGTACATAGCAGAAAACCTCAAGAGATGATTGATATTTGGTCTCGATTGCAAAATGCTCATTTAAATTGCTAAAATGTATACAAACTAAGTTTTGCATAGAAAGACATATCTTGGGTAGTTCCGAGTTGGGTTCTCTCACTAGGGGCAATTTCTATGTTAAACCATCAAAATTGCCTTCATAAGTAGTAGCTATTTGAGGGCCTCTACACCCTTTGATGTACTTTCTGGAAAAGAAAAGCAGAAGATCATAATGTTTAAAGGAAGCTACAGCAGGATGATTGGTTCTGATTCTTCCTACTGGCTAGTGGTCATTATTTTCTAATTTACCCCCTTCTTGTCTGAAATCATGTTTTTGGAATTTGACTATATTTTAAGTTATTTTTTATTTGACCTAATATTGTAATATTCCAACTTTTTGTTATAATGAGTGAATTGTCCACAATTTAGGTGTTTAAAACCTATTGGCTACAAATGATTTGTTATATATGATTCAGTGATTTTTGTGATGATATTTGAATTACATTTATTTTCGTGGAATTTAGACAATTTTTTAAAAATTATCTAGAAAAATTGACCTCTGTTGAAATTTCCTGCCACCCCAACAGTATTTTCTTGCGTTAATATAATCAGTTAATTTTGCAAAACAAAGATCACTGTGTGATCCAGTTTATCTTGCTATGGTCTTATGGTCATAGAGAGATTATGACATAGGAACATAATAACTGCTCTTGTATTTGATTTGCTGGGTGGTATAATAGTTCACTATTTTTAGTATTTGAAAGTAATGAGTATGATCCCATAATGACCAACTAAAGATTGAATTGACCCTGGCAGAAATATTATGTTTATGATTTTTTTTTTGGTGTGGACCAGGAAAACATATGTAACTTTTGAACTTTAAGGGAAAAGATTGAAGTTATAGACCTTTTCATGACTGGTTTGTCAGTTTAAAACTCCAGGATTCTATTCTTGCCATATTTTCACATGTTGCTTAGACAAAATTATTCTGAGTAGTAAGTGAGTAGCTTCCCTGTCTCAGTGTAGAAGTGCCTGTGTTTTTATTTATTGTTCAGATCAATGACCAAAAATTTTCTTAAATATATTTTGTGTAATATTTTATTTGTATACAGTGTTGTTGATGAAATATTTAACTAGAGCATGATATTTTAAATGTAATGTGTAACATATGTAAAATAAAGTTGTTATTTTTGAATTTTAAAGTTCATTTTTTTTTGAGAGATATGAATGCTAGAGTTGAGAAAATTCTGCCAAACTGTTGCTTGTATATACCATCTTGTAACAATGCTTTCTTGAAAACATTTTTTGTGTTTATAGAGATGAGGCTTCTTACCAGATGTGATACTTGGAACTGTAAGAAGATAGAAATAAAGTCATTGTATTTTTAATTGTCATGTGTAATAATCTATGAACTTTTTTCGTTTTCCATATTTGGTTACATTTTCCCTAACGAGGCCATTGTTCTCTTCAGAAACTATATTATAGTGATATTGAGCGATAGCCTTTTCTCTGTATCAATGGGTCATCTATCTTCACATCTAAAATTCTTAAAAGTGCTTTCCCACTTGGTTCTGTAAAGAGGAATATGAATATTTATTTATGCTTCCATTTTTAGTAAGTATAAAGAATTTAATTAGGAGATGGAGCAGCATTAAAAAAAAAATTGTATTGTCCTAAACCATGTTCACTTTGGGGTTTGTACCCACAGTGATGCAATGTAGAGGCAGCCTTTATCACTTAAGTTTCGTACTAGACTCACTTGAGAAGAAATTGCTAATGGTCAATTAAGAACAATAGAGCCCTGGCCAGTTTGGCTCAGTGGATGGAGTGTCAGCCTGCTGACTGAAGAGTACCGGGTTTGATTCTGCTCAAGGGCATGTACCTCAGTTGCAGGCTCCGCCCTGGTCTGGGCCCTGGTCGGGGCACATGCAGAGGCAACCAATCGATGTTCCTCTCACATCGATATTTCCCTCTGTCTTTCCCTCTCTGTTTCATTCCCTCTAAAAATCAATGGAAAAATATCCTGGGGTGAGGATTAAAAAAGAAGAAGAAGAAGTAGTAGGCATTTGATGAAGCTCAGGAAACAGAAGGGATCAGTGTTGTGAGGACATTTAGCAGACTGTCTTCTCCTACTGGGAATGTGGAGGCCATATGTGAGCAGTTATGAGGACATAGATACTTAATGTGGGTTTAAGTATTGAAGACTGTTTGTAAGCGTGGTCCTTCTAAGCGTTTCATGTGACTGCCTCTGACCTTTCCACTGCAGTGGTTGCTAGCATGCCTCCTAGAGAGCAGCATTGCCACATTAGTTTAGAGAAGAGTAATCAAGCTCTCAAAACATTCACTGGTCATTGGTCCATAATTTGCATGTGTCTGTATAACTTCACCACACATTTTCAAGTAATGCATATTTTCCTCTGAGGGGAATTTCTTTAATTTTTCTTCTAGGGAATTTTCCTTCACTGATATTTCAAATCTGCAGAAAAAGAAGAGATGTAGCAGCTTTAGAAATATGTTTAGAGGGCTCCTGAGGGTCTTCTGTGTGCCTCCAGTTGAAGTCCTTGGTGTTGGTGATGTTTGATGGGTGAGATGATCTCTGGCTCTTCTTTATTTGGCAGAAGTTCTTGTGTAGTGGTTACCTGAGCCCACAACAACTGGTCATCAGTCTCATGGGCTTTTCAGCAAAGGGATACTTAGGTTTTAGAGCTCTACACTTGCTTTGGTTCAATCAAGGTAGCGATTGGTTCTTAAAACAATGAAGCCTTCTCTTGGTGCTCCTGAGATGGATTCTCCCCTGAGCCTCCATCTCATGAATGTCAGCATCTAGTTAATTCATTCTCTCAGAACTGCTCAATTCTGTGGCCTCAGTGAAACTGGCACTTGTATTTTTTTTTATGTGTGGCTACTCACACATCATTTTGATTTTGAGTTTGAAAGTCAAAAGGCTGAATAAACATTGACAGGGTTTGGACTTTTCATAAACCCAACCAGGCCTTAAGAGGAAAAGATGAAAGAGACCCAGATGGCTCATTTCCATCCCTGCCTCTGCTTGTACCCGTCTCTGTTCTTAAGTTAGATGAAGGAGAATGGAAAAGAAGGGCAAGAAGTTGGGAGAATACTTTGAGTCAGACTTGAAAATTGAATCCAGAGTTAAAGGCAAAGTGTGACCATCTCCTACTTTAATACCCCTGATTGATAAAGGTCTGGAATCTTAGATGTTCTAGGTTGTCATGGCCCCCTCATGCAGAAAGTGAGAATTCATTTCTTAAAGCATAGGATGTTACTTAGGCCAAAAGTTAACTTCTCTGTGATTTACCTTCTTATGAAAAAATGTCAAGTGAAGTAAAAATTCTTATTTAGAATGAGAAAACAAATACTTCATGTGCTGGGCTGTACAGATTATTGGATAAATTAAGTTTTTCTTTAATGTTTATTCTATATTGATTTTATTCTCTAAATGCTAGGAACATCTGCCAAATAATTTTGATGAACTTTATTAGCATTAACAATAAATCTGAAAAATTAAACTATTATCCTGATTCATTCAGGCCTCAAAGTAAAATATTAGGAATGTTGGGGTTTTTTTTTTGGCCGTGATATCATATCTTGAAAGATAGAGGCCATGAATGAGACACTTTTGTCTTTAGGGAGCCCAAAATTTTTTGTCATATTGCATGTGAATTATCATATTTATTAATTTTAAGATGTGACACTTTTTATATACCACTAAAAAGCTGCCAATTCAGTATGATTTATATCAATTGTATGATGTGCGTCAATTGCAGAGATATTAAAATGTGAAAGGTTATATCTTAGAATACCTGAGGTACAGCATTAGAGTGTATAAAAACTGTATATAGACACAAAAATACACGAATAAGTCAAGGCCCGGTGGTGGAACAAAGGTGCTTGTAGCTTCCTGACTGCTGCCCAGCATCAAGGGGATGCGCTTTCATTCTCAAGCAGTAAGACACATGAACTTACATCCTAAGTGTCAGCCAGGGCTCACTCATTGCCCTGGAAACCTACCATCCTCTGACTAGCTTGTCTTCAACTAACATTCTTTTCCTGTTCACCACCTGTCCTTCACGCTGCCCATTGTGCAGAGCTTAGTAGCCAGGGAGGTGGCCTTGGGGCTTTGGGTCTCATTTATAGACACCCAACCCTGCCCAGGCAGCATCCCTGCAGCTGACAAAATATTCCCGGGTGAGGGTGGGAAGGGAGTGGCCAGGCACTCCCAGCCTCAGACTGGCCCTACCCGAGGTCTCCCTATAGAGAAAAGACCAACTCACACCTTTGAATCAATGGCCCTCTGGGCTCTTCATCCTCTTGTTTAAGGGTCCCAGGCATTGGGCTTAGAAGGGCTTTTTTTTCCTCTTGTCCCACTTCATTGCAAAATGTGCAGTCATGAGGTGTTAACTAATCACTGGGTAATTTATTTTCCAGTGTGTGGGGTGGAGAGAAGAAAATGAAAACAACTCTGTTGGAACAGGACAAAGACAGCTGTGGGGCAGGCTCACACGGGCCTAGCAGGAAACCTAACCATGTAGACACCCAGGAATCAGACGACAGATGCCAAGGCCCTGCACACTAACAAGGCACATGTCCTGCCTGTTTTGCTTGTTGGAACATTTGAAGAGGGACATACGCCCTCCGCCCTCCCGGTGGTGGGTGCTGCAGTCAACCAGGAGGCCAGAGCTGCAGATTCTGTACCCTCTCATCTGCTGCTGTCCTCCTGGCTGGTGAGATGGGAGAAACTCAGAAACGCACACAGAGAGAAAAACAAAATAATCAAATGTGGGCAAAGTAGCAATTATTTTTTTCCTCTTGTGGGATATGAGAAATGAGTGGTGGACATTGAGGGATAAAGTTGAAGGGCTTCATGTTGGTGGGAAATGCCTTTATTTGGTTGCAAAAGCCTCCCCACGTGAGTCACTATGGAAGGAATGTAGAAGGAGGAGTTGTGACACATTGTCATGAAAATTAGAGAGCTATCTCAGTCATCAGGTCCTCCTGGATTGAAGAAGAAGACAAACAGAAGATGCAGAATAATCCCAGAGAACCCGGAGGCTGGGAGGAACATTACACTGTAGGAGGGAGCCTGCCTTGTCAGCCACACCTCCAGACATGGCGGAGCTGCTTATTGAAATGAGTGCTAGCACCCTCCCTGCAACTGAGGTCCTGCTCAGTAAGGGCAGTGTTAGCGGAAAAACCCCAGCTCTGGCAGACCTTTAACAATATGGCCGACAGTTGAAACTATTTTCTGCTTTATCCCAAACCTGGACATGTTTCATGGCTGGTAGACCAACCCAATAAGTAACTCTTTTGAGATGGGCTTGGTTTGTTTGGAGAATCTTGCACTTACAAAATATATTTTAAAATAACTTGAAATTTTAAAATTTTCAACTTACAGAACAAATATAAGAGGGAGAGTACCTGTATACTTCCACCTAACTTTCCTAATGTCAGCATTTTACAGAACCGTATTACAATGTTCAAAATAAACATTGGACCAACCAACAACAGGAAGTCAACATTGCTATAATTCTATTACCTACACCGAGATCTTATTTGAACTTTACCATCACTAATGTCTATTTTCTGTTTCAGGATCCTGTACAAGGTCCCACATAGCATTTAGTTATTTTTCCTTGGTCTCCTCCAATCTGTTGTAGCTTTTCAACCTTTCCTTGCCTCTCTTAACTTGAATACTTTTGAAGAGTGGTGGGCTTGTCTGAGGTGTTCCTCACAATTAGAACGAGGTTATGTATGTTTAGCAAGAATGCCACAGACGTGATGTTGTGGCCTCAGTGCAGCTTGTCCGGGCTTCATGATGTCATTATGTCTCACTCCTGGCACTTTACACCTTGTTCACTGGGCTTCACGGTAAGATATTGCCTTTCTCTTTGTAGTTAAGAGATTTAACTACATTTATACATTTAAACTGTATGATAATTAAATGATTTCGTGCATGGAAAGTGCTTAGAGCCTGGGGTGTCGTCAGAGCTCAATGAATGGGAGCTGTGGCTTTTTTCATCATCGTTATTGCTGCCTCTGCCTTAGTTCTGTCCCTGGTTTTCCTTCTCTGGTGTTGATTGCTTGTCCTGTTCCTTCATTATTCTCTGCATCCCATGCTGACCCTCTCCTGACCGGTCACTTTCTCACATTGGGGTTAGTGCTCTCATTTGAAATATCTGTGGCCTTAAGGAGGGCACAGAAGAGCTGAATGCGTCTCAGCATGTGGGGGTTAGAGTGGGCAAGAGCCTGCTGTAACTCCAGGTGTTTGCTTCAGAGGTGGCCTTGGTTGGGGTTGGGGGCCCAGGTGGCACATCTCTCATGGTAGAATCTGAACCAGAACCCAAGGACCCATAGTCACTCTCCTCTTGGACCTG